ATGTAGTGGAGTAGAAAGTACAGATACTTAACGTAAAATGTAGTGGAGTAAAAATAAAATGTACCCATGATTAATTCTACTTAAGTAAAGTACAGATACGTGAAAAATGTACTTAAGTACAGCAAAAAAAAAGTACTTGTACTTTGTTACACCCCACCACTGCTAAAATAAATATACTATTTTTATTATTGCCATGTACTGTATAACAATGGCACACAAGCACCAGAGTCCTCATATATAAAAACTAGAAAGTTATTTATTTTATTTAAAATAAATAATTGTGTGGATGAGTCCTACCTACCCTCAACATCAGTCCCAATGCATTTTTTATTATATTACTTTATCAGATTTTTTTATTTACAGTATTTTTGTGCTATTAGAACAAAATCTTAAAACACGCAAATGCATTTCATTTAAAATAACTCAAACTCAAAACTCACTCGAAACTGTTAGGGGCAAACACTGTAAACATTATGCATATATTTATTTCTTCTATTGGTCTATTATTTCCTTTGTCGCAAACAAAGTCCATGTTTTCATAAATACAGAGCACAAACCCCCTGGTCAGACTGATTTACCAGGTAAGGCTACAACATATTAAAAAATCTGCATCATTGCAATATCAATGAGCATAATATAAACATCGCAAAAACTGCTTTAATTGCAACAGATCATAGGTCTTTACTGTAAGGACTGTGTAGTCATACCCTGAATGAAATGTGATCGATCCAACAGGATGTTTGTTTATTCTAACTGATATTGTCAGCACATTAACCAATAAAATCTCACATTGGAGGTTCTTTCTAATATTGTACAGCTTTACTGCCAGGTATTGCTCCTTTTCAGCAACAAAATATCTTTCTGTTTCAGCTGTCAGGAAAATAGAGTTTAGATTTTAGACAGCAAAAAAAAAAAAAAGCTTGTTTGATGCTGATGAAAATTATTCAAATTGTCCAAGCTGGGAACATTTACAAATTATCCTACACCATAACATTAGTCAGAAACAGTTCAACAATGTTAGAGCTGATTTTGTTGAACTGGGCCAAAATGCAGAAAGTACTGTCAGATATAATTTTTGAAGTTCTTAATGAACAAGTGTCAGGATAGCAATTAGAAAAATAAATAAAAATCTATTGGGCTTTTGTATTTTGGTGTGAACAAACAAAGAATAAAGAAGTTATTTATTGAATTTTTTTAATTAAATCATTTTGCTATTGATTTCTTCTGAGTGAGATAACTGAAAAAATAGCAACAACTCTATAATTTTATTCATAGTCATAAAAATCGCCATCAGCATTCTCAAATAACTCTATTTAATGGTAAGCATGTACAAATAAATATGAAGGATTATTAATAAATAAATGAAATGCTGCATAAATCGTTGTACAAAAGCAATAGTTATAARTTGCTGCATTAATTAAAAAAATGCAGCAAACATTAAAAAAATTGTTGTAACCAAGAAATGAATGAAAACACATAAAAGCTTTTCACTCTTTGCATGTTTATTCACCCATGAGCAGGATGACTAAATACTTTTTTTCAAGCTGTTATGAACTCCTAAATTATTATGTTTTGTCTCTGCTGTGTCAGAAACTAACAAAGTCATAAATATTCCATGTCATAAAAACACTTGAAATCAAGAAAAAAAAATGAAAGTGAAATTGTTTACGTGCATCTTTTGCACAGAGAATTAATCAAAAAATTGTAAAAAAAAAAAAAAATAAATAATAGTCATCTACATCTCAAAGCTTCTGCCACCTGCTATGCATCATCTGTAACATTGCTGTTTTATTGCCACCATCATTCTGCAGGATCATCACCAGTCATCAGCATTATCTTTCTTCTGAGAAGAACTCTGTTATTCTTTCTGCCTGTATTGAATTACCGTGAGGTTTTTGGCTGACAGATAAAAGCCATAAAATCCCTAAACGAGTGAGGAACATTTACCTTGGTGGGCACTTTGACAGCAAAGAGATACAGCCTCCATGTTGCCAGGACCTGAGGGGGTGGGAGGGGAGAACACATTTATTTTAGTTTTTGTCATTGAGCAGGAAAAGCAAAATGCAAATCGGGGCAAAAAATAGCACAACATGAACATCACATAAAGGGAACAAATCATCTCCGCAGTTCATCCGGATGCCTGGTGTAAGTCGACAAAGCACTCTAAAAATTAGCAAACTCGTGACAGCATAATGGAGAAACTGGGGAAAAAATATTAGATGATAGTGAGACTGCAATTCTTGTCCAATTCCAATTTATTGCAGTGAGTCGTACTGATGGAGCTGACTTAACGTTTATTCAACAGATGGCTCAATTTGCAGGAAATGAAACTATTGGTTAGACAAGATATAGGAATAGGAAATAAAAAAAAAATGGCTTTTTTGAAAAAAATACATTTCCATTTTAAAAAGTCTGGGGTAAATTAGAATAAGCACATGTGGATATATTAATATTCAACCCTTCCTTATTAATCATTTATAATTCAGAAATCTGTAATTAGCACACCACATGTATGCAGCGTGCATCTCTTCTCCTCCCAGGCCTTTTCTCCAACTGGCCACACTTTCTTATTTCCAGATAGATTTTAGCGCCCCCCCCCCCACCCCCCCAATCCCTTTCTTTCTTTCATCATAATTCCTCCCATCCTTGCATCTCGTCATTCCTCTGAATTCTCCTCATCTTCTTGGAAGTGGGATTCTTTTCCTCAATCTTCTTGCTTAATCCCTAATCCCTCCATCTCTGTGTCCCGTTCAGTTCGTGCCCGACCCAACACCTCACTCCATCCCCCCCCCCAGCTCTCCTGTCTCCTTTGGCGATTCGGTTTTTCTATTCTTTTTTTTCTGCTCTGTCGCTTTCAATTCCTCAAGGCCTTCCTGTGCTGAATGGCTAATGGCGCCCTGCTGAGAGGCGGTGAGAGGAAGAAAGAGAATGGAACGTACAAAGAAAAGCGAGAAMGGAGAGATAGAGGCGAAAGAAGGATGGAGACACTTGATTTCTCTCCTGATAATGGAGTCCTCAGAATCCCTTCAACTACTCAACATCCACCCCCAGCAAAACTGACCTCACGGATCAGCCTAATGTCCAAAATATAACAAAAAACCACAGCGGACTCCTACGGAGTAGAGGGACAAAAAAATATGAACACTACTGCCCAAAATAATGATAACAATAAAAAAAAGACATCTCAACGTTCAGCTGGGGGAGGTGCCTTTGCAGAAAATTACTAGTTCAAATTACAGCTGAGCTCAGTGACAAGTTGGAAAACAGTTATAAATCCAGAAAATAATGAGACACCTTAAGACACATAAAAAGCAGAGGAGACATAAACAACTAATTAGAAAGTGAAACTGAAGCAGCTGCCTGACAACGAGTCTCATCAAACAAAGACATCAATAATGTAAACTCTCCGATGAGCCACTTCGATCCGCTGAAACTGGCTTTGTGTGACGACTTTATTCTTTATTTTTATTCTATRCATCATCATTTACAGATTAGGGTTTTTTTGACAGTAGTCAGTTGCAGCAATAAATGGAACAATTTGAGTGGTATTAAATCAGTTTAACGTATACCATCATCTTTAGCGAATTAAAACTGCAACATTAGTTTAACTAGACCAATGTACTCAGACCTACAGAAAAAAATACAAATAAAAAATCAGAAATGTTTGCAATAAATTGTATATTAATGGGTATGGCATTCAATAAAGATAAAATAATTTACAACTCTTTATTTTCAGATTTTAGTAACAATTTTAGATATGTCTAATAGACGCTGCTCTGACTATGAAGGAACAATAGTGATTTCCCATTGACCACAAAATTATTATTGCAGTAATTTTATTTTATTTGTATTTTTATATTAATATAGGAATGGCACAGGTTGCTTCAGTCACTTGCGTTTAGGCATGGAGTAACTCTTAGCATTATACGTGGCAGCTATAAGACCCAGGTGATGAGATGTCTTTGTCTAAAATTATTTAATTTTTTAAGCTCAAACACTCAAAACAGACTCCTCTCTAACCTTGTGTCTTTGCTGCAGAAGGCGTTGGAGTAATTCTATGTACAAAAACAAAGTAAAAAAAATAATTATAATTCCAGACATATACTCAAACAAACATAGTGAATTTAATTTTAAAAATTATGTGAACTAGTTCCCCTCAACTGAGTAGAGTAAAAATGTATTTTACATTTACTTTAATTTTAAAAAAATCTACTGAAAACAATGCATTTCCCAATCATTTGAAAAGAATTTTATTAAATTCAAAGGATTAATTGAACCTAAAATCAGTGTATTATCAAGGTTCACTGAAAGCTATTACCCATTATATCGGATTTTTAAGCGTACACTTAAGATGTTTAATGTCATTATTTTACTAGTATTTTAAGAAAAAATGCATATTTAGGTATACCATTGAAGTAAACACTCTTTGAATTGAAAATACACAAAAAAAGAAAGAATAAGTGTGGACTATTTGAACAGTTAGACAGAAAAACAGCATGCTCAGACTCAAACAATGTTTATATCTCTCACAAACAGACACGGCAGCTCAAAATTATCTTAGGGTCACAAGTTATTAACTCGTGGCCACACATTGATTTTTTTTTAATCCAGTGTCACCAGATGGGTTCCATAGTAAACACTTTTTGCGATGATGAGATAAGAAATGGACATACAGAGCAGGCCAGATTTTTTGCACCAATTCAAAGAAAACAGTGAAACTACACTCAGCAGCAGCTCCATTTGTTTGTGTAACACAGATAACCAGCTGAGGGGATAGGATCTGATCTCTGGGGGTGCTTATAGCCCCCAGCAGGGCTAGCTCTTGCTATGAGCTAAGTTCAAGAGGAAGATTTCCTTTGGTGCAGTTTTCTAAATCTCAATGTTACATTCAAAATTAAAACATTTGTCCAATTAAAACTATTAACAACTACTTTATATACTGAAGTCAAAACAGAATTTCCGACATCATACCTGCAAACATCTGCTATTATCAATGAGAGACATTTATTCATGTTAACAAGTAGCAGTGGAGTGAATCAGTCCTAGGTAGGGTCAGGTGGCATGCCCCCCAGCAATTAAACATACTCAAAACTATGCATCTCACAATCATTTGAAGAGCATTTTACTAAATTCATAGGATTAATAGAACAACATAAAATCAGTGTGTTTTATCAAGGTTCACTGAAAAAAAAAAGTCTTTAACCTGAACTTTATCTGAAAATCATACTTAGAATATGCATTTCTCTTAGTTTTGACCTGAACATGACAGTGGGCCTGTATTATCTTAAAAAAAGACATGTCCATCTATGGAAAAGTGTGGATCAGTGTTTTGCTGTTTCAGTTCACWATTCATGACGTGGACCTATGTATGTAGTTATAGTACAAATCCCCTTTCTATTCACAGGCAAAGAAACAGCTAACATGAGCTAAAGTGAGCATTAAGTAAGCTAAATAATTTTATCCTCTTTCCTCAGTCTAGAGTAGCCAACTTTTGGGGGGAAAATCACTACTTTTAAAGAAACTTGTAATAATAATAATCACTCCTAACCAATGGCTTAGTCCTGCTAAATCAATATGATCATCACCCATCATTTTTATCAATACATACATGTGTTGTATGGATTGTTCGTAATTTACACACATTTTCTTCTATTTTGCTGGTATACGGATGTAAAGAACAATTCCAAAAACTCAGCTTCAAGTTTATTTTACCTTTCAGAGCCTGCAGGGTTATTTAACTAAATTTCTCTGGGGGCCACAGTTATTGCAGGCCAACAGTCGAGGGGCCAAAAAGCCAGCAATTAAAGTTATTATGTAAATAAATCAAGTATTATAAAGATCCTTTACCTTTGAAATAGTTCATTTTGCTGTATTTAGTCATGAATACAACACACAGAACCCTATAAAAGAATTGATAATTAAACAATATCAAAAACAAAAAAATGAAACATTATGCCTCATATTTAACACAAACATTATTTTGACATCTCCGTCTTGCCAAATGTTTAAACCAATTTTATTTTCACTTTCATAGTTTTRTCTTCAAATGCTTGTAGTTTTAACYGTCTTGAGTGTGCATAGAAAAGTTTTTCACCAGCTTCTATCCAAGATTCTGAYGTTTCTGTAGACACCAAACATGTCCATGTTTAACTAAAAGAACTTAYAGTTTGGGGTTAAGAGATGAATGAACCAATTGGYGGGCCGAACATAAGAATGGCTGCAGCTAAACCCACCATCAGCTACATAAAAAGCACAATTTTCCTACAAAGCAAAACGTGGATCCTTCGAACAGTCTCTCCTTTAACACTCTATGTCAGTTTTTTAACTCTTCCTAAACAGTCCATACAGCTAACTTCATGTTCCTTCGCTCAGTGAAAACTCTCACAGCGCGGAGCAGCTGAGCTGCAGCAGGAGACCGCAGCTACAGCTCATCTGTGATGTGTTCAAGACCGGGGAAAACTCTGATTTTTGAGCGTTAACCACACAAGATCCATGTTACTACATGACTGGCAGAGGTGTGCGCTCCACRAGCACTTCTAGTTCCAAACTGATTCAATATTTTGGTGGATCTAAGGTTTGAAAACAAAACCTTCTTACAAAACATTAATGGTAGTTTATTTATTTTCCGGGGGTGCTAAGTTCAAGTTTGGGGGTGCCTGAGCATCCCCAAAAAAGGGCTAAAATTCCCACTGCTAAATAACCAATCATATGTTAGCACTCAATACATTTAGGCGTAGTGATCTGTTGAAGTTCAAACCGAGCGTCAGGGAAGAGAGGAAATTTAAAAGACTTGTGGCATGGCTGTCTGTGTCAGACAGGCTGCTCTGAGTGTTGTAGAAACTGCTGTTCTGCAAAGACTTACACACACAGTCATACAGAGAATGGTCCGAAAAACAGAAAATATCCAGTGAGCAGCAGTCGTGTGGACAAAATTGTCTTGTTAATGTCAGAGGTTAGAGAAGAATGGAAAGATGGCTTCAAGATGATCGAAAGGCAAC